CCTCAATTATGTTCCACAAAAATTTTGAACTTTTATGATAAAACCTGCTATTTTGGACTATTCTCATTATCCAGAAACGAGTGAAAGGACTACAAAATTTCGCACTGTAAGCAATACTGCTACCAAATAGTCGTGCATCAGGATTTTCTTTAGTTATATTACTGAAAAAAAACTATAACAACTGCTAAAATTTCAAGTCGCACGTTTGAATTAAAAATTTTGGAAATAAAAGACAACTTATAAATCGGCAGCTAATAACAATCCCTGACCATTTTTTACAGGAATATGTTACCATTAAAACGATGTAAATTAATTATTCTGATTGTAATCACACGAGAAACTTATCCATTTATACAGTGACTACTAAGTTCAGAATTGGAACGTGGAGGAGAGAATTTATGCATTTTTTCTCGAGTCAGCCCGGGCCGCTACCACCCATTGTAGCGGGCGGGCAAGCAAAACGCTCTGACAGTTCACATGTACCGTTATATGGAGAAATGGGCATGTACACAGGTGGTGGCACATAGTGTTAGCCATCGTACATAGTGTACACAGTACATGTATGAGCATGTAACCATCGAATAAAGTTGAAAATGAAAAATTGGTAAAAATTTTCCTAAAACCTTGAGAGTATCCCCCCGTTATCACATCATGCGACTCGTATGTATACAAGCGCTCCCATTTCGTGGTATTTTGCTGCGTCAGACTAAAATCTTACCATAGAGCAAAGCCAATCAGTACTCTGAAGTTGATAACGTACACAGTACACAGAGTTCTGATAACAGCATTCACTTACCTATATATATAGTTATTACATTTCGATTTTTCTCAGTAGAGTGCACGTCACATCGTTACCATCTTGTATAAAATATAACGAATTGTTAGCTTGAAAGAATAAAAGTTTGAAGCTGGGTTGGACACACTATACGACATGGATATGAAGATGAGAATGTACCTCGTGGCCTGTTTGCTGCTGGTACTGATGGCAAACACTGGTAAGTTCAATTTGTTTTTAACTTCGATCTCACGTTGTTTGTTGTACGGTGAAAGTAATGCATATATTAGTGCAAAAAGACAGATCTTGAGCAGGACAGATTTGAAGTAGGATGACGCACACAGGCACTTGGAGCGTTTCAATAACATATAATGCTAAATAGTAAATAAATACGAAATCTATTTACTACCAAAGTCTTAATGTTTCTATACTCTCTTTCACCTATTATTGCCGACAATTTCCTGTAAATGCCGTCCAAATGCTCATCTACCACAAACACTGGCTGCCGCTGCACACTGACACATAACTATATATATATTTTAAGTGTCAGTGTGCAGCACTGCAGCGGCAGCAATGGCGCTTGGCGGCAGCCAGTGTTTGTTGTAGATGAGCGTTTGGACGGTATTTACAGGAAATTGTCGGCAATAATAGGTGAAAGAGAGTAGAGAAACATTAAGACTGGTAGTAAATAGATTTCGGATTTATTTACTATTTAGCATTATATTTCATTGAAATGCTCCAAGTGCCTGTGATGACGCACTATAGGCTGTATCGTGGAATGTACTATGATATGCGCACACGTGTTTATATTGGAAACACTTACAAAACTACTGCCTATTTAAACACTACTGAAGTAAATTGGATGTCATTCTCATTTAAACTTCTACACGCACATAATGTTACTTTGATAATTAAATTATTTTCGGCGCCGCCGCGCAGCAGTTAAATGACGTATTTGCCGTATTTTATGTTTGTCTGTCATGGTGTATTGCAGCATCATCACTGCGTTGTTACACGTGTTCTCAAAGTATACCAGGGGCATGGAACACGAGCATATGCCAGAATGATCCTGCAGAGGTTGTGACCGGAGCACCCATTACAGACTGTCCTAAAAGTACTTTCTGCTACACACTTCTTCAGATGCAGGAAGGTGAGGGAATCAAATGAGTAGAGTAGACGATCCGTCAAACGGACAAAATGACTGAATGAAGGATGATCGCACTAGAGGATGAGCGCAGAGTCGAGAAATGGACGGAGTGACTGACTGACAGACAGGCAAACAGACATACAGATTGCTTAATATTTTTACTATAAACACAATACACGTATTGCCTGTTATAATAATCTGTTTTATTGTGATACTATTTGCTTACGCGTTTAATGTCGCCTGACGGACGTTGTTTCAGAGCAGGTTTGGTCCTTTCTAAGAGGTTGCGGAGTAGAAAATATGATCTACAAATGGGAAGAGTGCCTCGAATCCAGTGGTGGTATTAGATGCGACTGCGCCACACGGTGCGAAACTGACCTGTGCAATGATGATGCTGGTGTTCCTGCTGGATACACATCGCCGTGCCTTACGGAGAACGCCGGAACAACCGTCGGAACCGCTAGTACGACATCTAGTGCCTCTTCATGCAGCGTATTGCTTCGCCGTATGCGCCCCCTTATTATAACATCAACATCAATATACGTTATATTACGCGTGATTATAAATGGCGGAATGTTTTTTCTTGAATAAAAATGTGTTTGTGTGTAGGTATGCGCACGCGTGCGCGTGTGTGTGCGTGAGTGCGTCCGTGCGCGCATGCGTGTGTGATTGTTGACAGGCCGATAAATTAGTAATGAAATGTAAAGGCTAACTCTGGTCGCCCTTACGACCTAGTATGTAATAAAGATGTTCACGTGCGCAATGTAAGAAATTTTTGCCGCTGCTTTCTCGTGCAAGGTTGAGACTACGATACCGACGTTCGTTTTGCTGTGCCAGTTAAAACCAGGGGCCCGTTATCAGAAACAAAATTAGAAACAAAATCAGAAACAAAATTATATTAACAATATTAACAATTTCTCTTAGACCGTCGACATCACTTTGTTTCGTATTGTTATGAGGAAATCTGCTACGATTTTTCATTCTCGTAACTTCGCAGCGTTTCTGTCAACGGTCTTAGAGAAAAAGTTAATGTTAAGACTAATGTTAAGACCAATATTGTTTCTGACAACGGGCCCCAAGACCTTTGCCAGGCAGTTACTAGTATGACACGTTGTTTGCGCCGAGTTGACGTAGTACTAGTGGTTATCCAACATGGGCAAACACTTTCCCAGTGAGTCCGCCACGACGTACGGCGAATCGAACATGTATGCGTTCGAAACGCATTCCAAAGGTTCTTGGCATTTCGACAGTTTTTGGCATTTCGCAGGTCCATATTTGAGAGTACGTGCTCCGGCGGGTACGCCGATATAATCAAGCATCGTTTACCAAGCACACATTCACTGCCACCTCCACCCCCCCTTCCCCACTCACTCACTGTACGTTCACGTAGTATACGTGCAGGTAGGCGCGTAATGTGCCAGATATCACAGGGATTGCCGCAGGGACATGCCGGATAGTTCGTTATTATGCCGAGGAGCTTGCTGCCTTACTCGCATCAATAACGTGCTTGTCACCTGAGGTGGGGGGCCGGGGGAGGGGGGGGGGGGGAGGGAGAGAGCGTAAACATGACATGCCGGTTGGACAGGTGCTGGTCGAATGTAAACCTAGCATCAGGAGTTAATGAAACAAATTCACAAATTTTGTCTCATTAACTCCTGCTAGCATCTAACTAACTCCCCGCGATGTTATTTACTCGCTGTACTGTTATAAGGTACTGTATTAGGACGCCTGTAATGTAGATATTTACATTCGAGTCGATGTACTAGCGTATTGATTTTAATCAGGGGGAATCTCAATGTGGAAATTCGTTTAAAATTGCAGGAGAAAAGTGGTATTATCAAGAGCTAATAATACCTAGGTATAATTATACCTATATATATATATATATAGTATAGTATATTTAACCTATATAGTATAATTAATTTATACCATTATTATATATAGAAGATTTTTGTTCAGTTTAGCGAAAGGAAAGTGGAACTAAAAGTGAGTGGAAAAGCAGAGATGAAAACAAGCGTAGGAGAAGTAAGTGTGCAGGAGCATGAGGAGAGCACATGTAGAGGAGGGAGAGTGGTGTAGAGGAGGGGAGACGCATCTAAGCGGCAAATACTGCGCGCATACAACGAGTACGCGCGCACACAAGTACTCGTACTAACAGAAACAATGTAATAAATGTATAATAAATGAATAATATATATATATATATTATTGTATTGTAATTACTGCGTCCACGTAAACACATGCCAGGCCTCCTAGCACCAACCTTGGGCCCGTTAACCAAGTTGGGCAGCAAGCGCAATTGTTTTGTTTCTATACAGAAATGCGGAAAGGGTTGTTGTGTTGTGGTAATTAATCAGAGTTGTTGTTTTGTTACTCTATTGTTCGATTGCACCGTGCTAAGTTGACTGGTGTTTTGCACGCAGTAACAGTATCAACTATAGCTGTGTAACCTTGTATGCATATAAAGCAAAAATGAGTTTTTTAAGCTCGTACCATCTTTTCATTTTGCCTTATTTGCCTTATTTTTTCTCTCTGTATGCTTATGTTTATATCTTCCCATCACTACTTTCTCCCGCAACCCTGGTTTCCCGTTCTTTCCTTGTCTTCCTTCGTCGTGTTGCCTCTTCTCTGCTCCTATACCCTTTCTTGTTTTTCTCATCCTTACTTCCTTATATTCTTCTCTTTCCTCATCTTTTGTCTCCATCCACACTTATCCGTATCTCATTCACTTGTCTCTCCTTTTACTACACCTCTCTTCGTGTCTTACTCTCTTGGGTTCTGATTGTTGATTGTCATCATTTCTTCTTATTCATGCTCTCGCGCTCTCTCTCTCTCTCTCTCTCACTCTCTCTCTCTCTTTCTCTCTCGTGCTCTCTCGATCTCCATTCCTCTCTCCATCGAGTCGTCCATCTTGCTTCTCTCGGTAACATGGCGTTACTGAGTCAAAGAGTCAGATACGAATCGAATTTTTCTACCTCTGCCACAATTTCTTATTCACGAGTTCAGGTCGTGTGGCACTAAAAAATGTAAAGCATCGCTTACATGATAGCGAGTATCGCCACCCTGTCATTTCACGCTTGACAGCATCATGTCTGAAACCGATGCGATCCCCTGCGACCGCCGGCTCGTCACTGCACCCCACACAAACTGCTGCACATATGTTATCAAGATCATGCTTACTCATTTTACGACTCTCTTCTTCTTCTCATTCTTCCCTACTCTCGTTATCTACGATCTCCCGCCCTATTACAATAGCTCTCTCTCCTCGGTTCGCTCCGCTCGCGTCTCTCATCTTCTCATCGAGGATCGTCTGCGTCTCAGGATCGCATCCGTCTCTCCTCCTCTTTCTTCTTCTCTTTCTATTCTTTCTCTTCATTCCCGAAGGGGGCCGGGTCTTTTCTTTCTCTCTCCTAGCTTATTCACA